GTGTGTGTGTGTGTGTATGTTCGTATATGTACCTGATTAAGGCGTTTAATACATTGCATATGTATTGTACGTTGTATGTATAATGTATATTTAATACACGAATTTTTTTTGACTTCAATATTTTAAATAAAGTTATAGATATATTTATAGCATATAATTATATATTACAGGAGAAAATTAGTTATATTTTTAAAATAAAGGTTGTTTAATACCATCGTAAAGTTAACATTGTCTTTAAAATATATGAATTAATTTGAATAATTTAGGACCGTGCCAGAGAAGAAGTCAATACTGTGATGCATGAAAGTGGAGGGAAACTTACTATACAATCGCTGCAAAAGTTGTCATATTTAGAAAGATGTATAAAAGAAACGTTGCGTTTGTATCCTGTCGCCCATTTTATATCACGGGTTACTTCCGAAGATGTAAAATTACGTATGTATCTTATTTCTCTTGTTGTATATTTTTATATACAGGGTGTCCTGCAGTATGTGTAACTCCGGTCGTGAGAAGGTAGATGGGAGAGAGATAAATGGAAATGTCTTATACCATTTTGCGAAATTCGCAATAATTTTTGAGTTATTAACTATTAAAGTATTAAATATTAAAGCACAAAAGAGCGCGCGGGAAGAAAACGCTCGCCCTTGTGCTACTTTAATATTTAATAATTCGAAAATTATTGCGCAAATTGATATAAGACATTTTGATTTATCTCGCTTTCGCCTACCTTCTCACAAGAGATAAGGATAGTGGCTACGGGACGTCCTGTATATGTATACATATATATTACAAAATGTTTTTAAATTTTACATTAAAAAAAAATAATTTCTGGGAATGTTAAAAGATGTTTCAAAACATATTTTGTAACAATTTATAATATTCATTGCAATTATTTTTTCTTTGTTGGTAATAATATTGTATTATTGAAATTGTGTTTCTGAATTGTTTAAATATCTATTAAATTTTAACTTAAATTTTATTAGTCTTATTTACCTCTAAAAATTATATTATAACACAATTTTTAGAAACATATTTAGTACCAGCTGGGACGTTTGTGTATATTAGTATCCACGGAGCCCATAGAGATCCGAATTATTGGTCAAATCCGGAGGTATTTGATCCAGACAGATTTTTACCTGAGAAAACTCAAAATCGGCATCCGTATTCATATCTGCCATTCGGAGCTGGACCACGGAACTGCATTGGTAAATTATTTTTCAGTATTCTTTTCGATATTTTTTTGTAAATTATATTATTAGAATAATTTTAATTATGATAATATATATATGTGTGTGTGTATATCGAATTATAGGACAACGATTTGCTCGATTGGAAATGAAATGTATGATAGCTTCTCTGATATACAATTTTTACTTAGAGCCAATGGAGTATTTAAAGGACATTCAGCTTAATACTGATATCTTGATTCGCTCCGCTTATCCTCTGCGTTTAAAATTTGTACCAATTGTTAAAAAACACACAAATTTTAACACATAGATTCTTATAAATTTTTCGAACATAGAAATGCTAGTATTAAAAAACTGAAAGAATAATTGTACTAAGTATTTCTGTCTGATGATACAACTAGAAAGGAGATAATTTTACATGAAAAAATAAAACGAAAATATAATTTTTTCATATGATATTTTATTTTTGCAAAATTTTTCATCGCCGGATATATGTGCATATTTATGTCTCAATATAAGAAATCTCGTTATAGATCTTTTCGCTTATTTATTCACGAATATTTCCAATGTTATGAATTATTTTGTTTGACAAAATAGGTAATATTTAAGTCGACTTTTTTGAAAATAAAATTTCATACAAAAAAATTTAATTTTACTTTTTACATCTTCGTTTTAATTTTAATTTTTTTATGTAGTATTGCTTCTTTTCCCATATCTCTAGTTATACAGCATTCTGTATGTATTCAATATATACTTTAATTTTATGAATGGCTGATGTTCTGTAACTATAAAAATATATATAAATAAATATAAATATAAAAATATACAATAATATATATAAGTATAATATAATATAAAAATATATATAAAAATATATAAATACATATAAATATAAAAATATATGTTATCTACATGTATTGTAACTGACGATACAAGAGATCGTGATTCAGAGAATACACTATTTTCTATCACTTATAATGGTAAATACAACTTGGACAAATTATTATAAACTATTTTAAATATCTATTCCTATCCTACACAGTTTCAATACATAAATAGAATTGAATAATCAATCGGCAACAAACAGGTAAATAACGATGAAATATTTTAATGTGGAATATCATTAATGGAATATCATTAATTCATTTATTTTGTATTATGATGAAAACTTGTTAACTATGAAAAAAAAAAGATTCTTGACTTACCTTTATAATAGAGTTATAATAGATACGACTTTAAAATTGTATATCTAAAATAAATTAGAATTGCCTATGCTCTTTTTAGAAATCTCAATCCATCAATAAATAATTACATATGGGCAATTTTCTTTTCAATTCTAATCTTTATCTTCAAACTTAACTTTTTGTAAAAGAAAAAATACAAAAATTACCCTCTTAATTATTTTTTATTTATTATTATTATTATTATTATTATTATACATATAGTTACTGTACAAAAGCTACTTTTTTTGTAATGGTCAATAGATTATATGAATAAATATTATATTTTATAAATTTCACGATTTATTTTTGTTATATCAAACAGAAATTTTACAAAAGAAAGAAACTAATATGAATTAATATCTCAGTGAGAAAAATTAATAGAATCGACATCGAATCAACATCGAATCGAAATGTATATGAATGTATAAAAATTAATATATTGATAAATGTATATATTTTTGTCAATATTAATCAATACTTTAGTCTATAATAAAAGAAAAATTACGCGAACGTAAATATATATATAATTATATGTACATTCTTATGTACAATTTGTCGCGGTAGCATGGACTGGCATCACATCTACTTCACGAGATATGATTTTATCGGCCGTGTCGCAAAATAGATGTGACTTGTAATTCCACGACTCAATTATAGAGGTTAGTGACAATAGTGTACGGCGATTTTTACGGTGCCACGAAAAAGGCCGGCGTGGCCGCTCTTAGATTCTTCTCTGTCTCTGCCCTAAGCGACCGGTCAAGGTGGGCCAATTTTTGATTGACTGAATACAGAATGGCGTAGCCAATCTACGCTGACTAAGTGTAGATTGCGAAAGAAGAAGAAACAGAAGTGGAAGAAACACAAACATCACGCATTTTTGTCTTTGTTTACCGATTTTGATTTTGTATTCAGATTGTATTCATTCGGACGTATGTGCCAATT